TGTGAATTAAATTTTTTATATTCGTCTACAATTTAGATAAAAGAGCCACTACAAATTAAATTCAATTGGTACACTTAAACATTACCTCGTTGATGGTGGTCCGTGTCTTCTATATATATTTTCCCGTCTATCGCTCATCTTTTAACAATTTAATTAAACATGAAAAAGTTAGTTAAAACAAGTGTGAGTAAAACGAGTCAGTAAATATTTATACTTCTAAACTATAGCAAAACAAGAAAAATAAATAACAATATGTATGTCAGTTAAGTTTCATTATATAACAAAATAAATATTTGACATGCTATTTAAATGGGTATATATTATTATCATATCAATATCACTTCAAATTTATATAATCATCATAAGAGGCACTATCTAAAAATTGTGTCACTTAAAACACATCAATATCAATATTTTTTATCATTTACGTGCACGGGTACATTAGTGTTCCCCAATTATACTATGAAAAAATGTTTCCTCATAGTCAGTCTACACATACTAGTAGTCATTATAAATATATGTATTCATCGCATTCAATTCAACATACTATATAAAATATGCACCAAATGCATAAGTAGCTATAACATCCATAACATTATGATCAATAAAAAAAATAATATTTCAATCAAAATAAACACACAAAAATATCATAACCTGCAAACATATTTGAGAATAAATTACTATTATTTAAAATTACAAGTATTCACCACGATGATGCTTAATTCAATAAGTTTTTGCCCGCATCGACTTTTCTAAAGTGAAAAATAAAAATAAACATGATATAAAAGTTAATTTATTTAATATTTTACTTAACTATAAACTCTTTATTATTATTTAAGTATTAAACCTTTATTACTTGATTATACTTATTTTCTTATTCAAAATATATGATCATTATTATTATTATTATTATTATTATTATTATTATTATTATTAAATCAATGTAATATATCATATCTCCCTGAATCTTCTTCTCCCTCTGCATGAAATCCAGACCGCAGTTCTTACCCTGCACGAAAGAGGCTTCTTCTCCTGCAAGAGAGAGACTCGATTTGAATACTTCAACACAACTTCTATTCCTCTTTGTCACTCGGCTAGGGCACGATCAACTCTCTCCATCTTCTTCTTCGACTAGGCTAGGGCACAATCGAAAGTAAGTTCCTCCTTTGCAAAAACCCGCACGAGACATCGGATCTTCTCACGCACCACACATTGTCTCCTTCCACGTCATTAGCTAGGTACTTACGCCTTCTTACTCGAGCTTCCTCGTCGTTAGCTAGGTACTTATGCCAACTCGACTCTTCTCTCATCGTTCTCAGGTAAGTGGGTATGCGACTTCTAGAGGCAACGTCGCTTGTTCAACTTTCTGATCTCATTCTTCTCCCCCAGTTTCATTTGCCCGACCCACCGCTTCTTATCCTTCAATTGTTTGTTTCCTCTCCCTTTTCCGATTCATCGTTTGCTCTTCCATCTCTAATTCTTTCTTCTTCTTTGTTTCTTCGTTTTCCTCATTTCTTCTCCCCCCGCACACAACCATTACAGCTATGTACAATATGCCAAGCCAAAACTGATTAGCAATGAAACACTAAAAATTAAATTTAAATGTTTCAGCCAAAATGATAGAAATGATGTAGGCATCAACCGATATTTATAGCTAAAATTCTATCCTACAACTTACTAGATTAAAAATCGATCAAAATTATGAGCCATCCAATAACCAGAGTTGGGCTGGCTCGAGATCGGATCATTAAAAATTTAAATATAACCATGTAAGATGAAAATCAAATATATAATCAAGATAATAAACTGTGGATGAAACCAAAATACATATACAGTATTTAAAGTATAGAGAATCTTATTAAATGAAAAATGAGTTTCTTGAAGCAACTTTCAACACTAAGATATAACTACAATCAATTGATGGAGAAATAAAACAATAATAATGGATGAAAATTTAACCTTAGGATGTCCATGCTGCAAGCAATAGGAGGATAGATCAGTGATTTTCCATTACCAACACATGAAACAGATGGTTACTCAACAGTTGGAATCATTCACATTCATATCTATGTTTTTTTATCTGACTTGAAGCCTCAAAACATAGGTAATTAAGTATGAAACAGCAAAATTTATCTTTAACTAAAAAGTAAAAAAAAGGTAGAGAATCCATTATGATAAATAAGAAACGAACATTGCAGCCAACAGTATCCGGTTCAAAGTAGAAGAGCATCCACATTTAACAATTGGAGTAAAATTTCACCGAGTGTAATAAACAATTTACCTCTTTCGAAGCTCCCCCTGCAACCCTAGGAGAGCTAGAACAAGAAGAAAGGTATCGACTACCAGAGTCAGTGCCATTAACTCTTGAATCATCCATGCTTCCAGCATAACTGGCGGCACCAGCATCATTAGGCCAAGCACTGATTCCATAATTGCCAAACTGAAGATTAATAGGTTCTGCCTTGCCAATCTTCAAGGGACCATACATTGGGCTTCCTACACAGCTCTCACTTCCACTGTTTGAACCAGGCATTGCCTTAACATTAATGGACTCCACCGGCCAAGCCTTAGCGACAGACCCATCCGTATTAACCAGTGCTATGAGATGTCTAGAAGATCCTAGCCTCTGTATCAATTGAAACATTTTTTTTGAAGTCAGTGAGTTTGCAGCACATTGGTTTCTATACTCTTCATCAACTATGGTTATTGTATTCGTGATTGGATCATAGAGTTGCTCTCCTGCCTCTCGCCTCCTCAGGCAGCTAAAAACTGTAGCATGAATTGCAGCCACGCTACGATCAACATTTGTGTTATTTATCTTGGGCACCAAATGTTTGTTCGCCCGGTTGCAGAGATAGTCCTGAATCCTTCTTATGTTCCGAATATATTTTACATACTTATTTCTTGCAGGGTCCAATGTCATATATTTAGCACGCACCGCAAACCTTTCCATATGTTTGTCCTCATTCGCAATATAAATCATGAATGGTATAATTGAAGGATGCTTTTTCATTAGCCCCATCTAGAATATAAGAAAAAAAGGAACATTTAGCATGCAAATATAACAAATATGAAAAATCAAATATAAAGAGGACAAGAATATATCATTTTGAGAGCCAAAACATGCGCTAGTACCTACCACAAAATTGAGACTCAGGTGAACTCCTTCTACAATAACAGATTGCTTCCGATTTTCCCACGCTGTAATCAAACGATCAAGACTGTCAATAACCATTTCACTCTGTGCCTTGAATCCCTCAACTGCCATCTGCTTTTTGCCAATTTGGTCGATACCGGAGCCTCCATCCGGTGATTGTTTCTCACAATTTTCAGATGAAGCATTATTGGACAGCCCTTCCCTAAGAACAGAGTTGGAAACACCAGCCAGTCTTTTTGCTTTCCTTCTGGCCTTCGCTTCCGCAACTGCCACAGGATCCAAGTAATCACCAGCATGATATGTAGAGGACCACAGAAGTGGATTTTCTTTTTCATCTACAAAGCTCCTCATCATGTGCCGAATTGAATCAGTTGAAATCACAGTTGTAATACCCAATCTGCTTCCCTGCATGAAAATTCTCTAGTCAAATCACATGAATAGCACAGTTCTTAGGGATAAAAGAATGAAATTTTCTTTAATGCAAATTCCTTTCATTAATGAAAGCAAGATGATGAAATTACGCCTATTTGTAGATATAAGAAAGAAGTGTTGCTTTCTAGGAAGATATTATTTTTAGTATCTTCTAATATTAGTATATTCTATTTTAAAATTTATATTATTAGCATGTCATAATTCATTTTTCCTTCTTTTATCATGGGGAGATTAATGTAATGTACGAGACAACACCCTAAACTATCCTATAATTATTTTCTATGAGGTTGAAGAGAAATAATTTTTTTCCTCTCCCAAAACTTACATGGCATCAGAGATGACTTTCACCTTTGAAGTGGCGATCCAATCTCGTCAATTGTTTGTAGGTTATGTCGCTCCGCTCCTGCTACTCCCGGGTTCGCCCAATACAATTGTCTTCGCAGACGACCTCTCGCGAGACAATCGTGATTAGAGTTAACTGGGAAGGCAACAACTAGATCGTGACGTTCAGAGGCTCATTGTGATACAGTCGCAATTAGAGCTAGCTGGGAAGGCAATAACTGGATCGTGGAGTTTAGAGACCCCTCGCAATACAATTGCGATTCGAGACTATTGAGAAGGCAATGATTAGATTGTGACGTTCAGAGATCCAATGTCAATGATTCGCAAGCCAGTCCAGTATTCAAACTAGTGCTTTTCTTTTTCTCCTTAAAGTAGCCACAACACGTGTGCTGCTCTTCTCAGATTCCGAGTATATCGTGCAAATCGGCATTAATAACGGGAGTTAAAAGAAAATTTACCACATCGATTGGTACTAATAATTTTGAAACTACCTTTACCCTATAGCTACTCTCATGGCTGTATCAGCTGAATAATTTCATCAAAATTTACCACCTTACTTAACAATTATAAAACTTAATGGACACAACTACCTCGAGTAGGCTCAATCCATAAAATTCCATAAAATAGGCGATCGACGGGAGGGACAAAATTGGCTATTTAAATGGAGAAATTTCAAAACCTACTAGTAGCGATCCAAATATGAAAAAATGAAATTTCAAAAATTATCTGGTGATGGCATGGCTCGTCAACTCTATAAAAACTATCATAGGAAAACATCATCTATTCCTTCCTACTGCTCAAGATGTCTGGGAGGCTGTTCAAGATCTCTAATCAAGTTTGGAGAATTCTTCACAAAATTTTAATTGAATACCCAACAGTAGAAATTCAAAAAAAAATGATCGTGTGGTTTCTACATATTAAAATCAGTAATAACATTATGACAGGAGCTTGATCAATATTATGATAATATTTGATAGAATTTAAATGATTATGCTCAGCACAAGAAGAGAAGGAAAAGGCTAGGTCTATGTGTTCTTGGCCAGCCTTAATTAGAGTTTAAACGAAGTCTAAGGTCGAATCCTTGGTAGAAAACTCTACCCTCGATTCAAGAAGTTTTTTTTTTTTTTTGAAGTTAGATGTGAAAATACAAGAAGAAAAATTATGATGTGCAACACCGAAATGTCTTGTAATATTGAACAAGAGAACTCGACTCTTGTGTCAAAAGGGATTGATACTGAGAAAGAATGGCCAGGGCTTAAGAAATAATGGCGCGAGCATTGTAAAAAATCATGACACACAAAGGAGACATGTTGAAAGTTTCATGATAAACCTGTAAATTAGAAATCAAAATCCAAGCATGAAGATCAAGCTTATCAAGCTAGTGTTGATGAAACTTACGAGCCGTCTACTAACTCGAATGTAGTCCCTTTCACCAAGAAGCAATTAAAGCACTCGCACAAATTATTTTAATCTTCAAAAATGTCCCTGACTCTGTCTTGCTCCTTAGTACAGAAGGATAACTCTTTAGTCGCTGCCTTGTTAGGTGTTATTCCTATTTATTTTCATCCATGCATAATTAATTTTGGTGCAACTAATCACATGACTTGTTGTTCTAAATTTTTTTCTTCTATAGACCTTGTGCAGACAATAAAAATATTAAAATTAATGATGGTTCTCTCCTGATAATTGTCGAAGTAGGAGCTGTCAAATTCTCATTGTTGTCAACCCTTTCTGATGTTCTCCTTGTTCTTAATCTATCATGTAACTTGTCCATTAATAAAAATTACTATTGATCATCGAAGTCAAGCTACTTCTATTCTACTTATTGAGAGTTTCAGGAATTGACTGCAGGGAGCATGATTAATAATGCTGAGGAAAATGATGAACTAATATTTTGATGACAAACTTGAATCGAATAGACAATGTCTAAATACTCGTTTAAATTCTCACTCTATAGACGATGAAATAATGTTATGATATTATACGTTAGATCTCTTAGTTTTCAGTACATAAAATACTTATTTCTTGAAGTATTTCATCATAATAAAATATTTGTTTCAATGAGAAGTTTGTTAATTTACTAAACATTATCGTGCATTGTTTTCTCCACAAATATACAAGTCAACTACACCATTTTCTCTGATTTATAACGATATCTGGGATCCTTGTAAAACCCTTGCACATTCTAGGAAAAAATTTGTTTGTGATTTTTACGGATAGTCACATTGGATTAAGTTGGTTTATTTAATGAAAACAATTGGAAGTGAAAATAATTTTCAAGAACTTTTATACCAGGTACACAATTTTAAAAAATTATTCAAATACTATAAAGTGATGGACAAGATTATTTCAAAAATATTTTGGATCAAATTTTCTCGAAAAAGGAATAAATCATCAAAGCTCTTGTGTTGACATTCTACAACAAAATGACAGCAGAAAAAAAGCACTAATTTACGATAGCTCGAGCATTGCTATTTACCAATCAAATGCATAATATCTTTGGGATTAAGCCTTTCTTACTGCTACAGTTCTCATAAATAAAACACCCAATATAATTTTAAGCATTGAAACAATTTTTTATGTTTTTAAAATCTTTTTCTTCCAAAGAATCAACTCTCATATTCTCTACTTCTAAAGATATTTGTGTGTACTACCTTCGTTCACATTCATCATCAAGGAACACTAACCTCGCGCCAAAAAATGTGTCTTCATTGGTTATGCTTCTTACCAAAAGAGGTATAAATGATCCGATCTCAAGTCAAAAAAAAATATTTGCTAACATAGATATTACCTTTTTTGAATTACAACACTTTTTTATCACCTCATATTCAAGGGAAAGAATAAAACAAAGATTTGCCTCAAAAATTTCAGGATTTTCTTCAAACTAATGACTTTCAAAATAATAAATTCCCAGCCTTGATCATTCAATCTGAAAACCCAAGCTATATTATATCAATAGAGAGTAAGGGCCATTTGGTGGGGCTTTTCGCCCGCGGCGCGGCTCAGGGCAGCTTGAAGCTGCCGTTTGGGGTGGCGATTTCCCCGCAGTGCGGCCACATTTTAATAAAACGTGGGCCACGGGTTTGAACCTGTGGCCCACATTACTCCTTTCATTTATGTGCTTGCCCCTTGGGTTTGACCTTGCATTCGTCGTCTGCCCTTACCTTCCCCGCGAAACTCTTGCTTCCTTTGCCTTAACCTATTGTTTCGGACGTCTTCTCCCTCCGGTATCCCCTTTCCCTTTATTCTCTTGGTGGTTTTGCATCTAATATTTGAAATTTTTTTGGTTTCTCGTGGATCTACACCGTTTGATTGTTCTTGATGCTTTCGTTTCTTGTTGTTTCTCTTGGATTTTTTTTAAGGTTTTGGGCTTGAATTTCATGTTTCTATTTGGAGAATTTGAGAAGCATGTGGTGGTGTTGTTTCTGTTTGTTGTGAATTTGAGTAGAAGAAGAGCCCTTAGGGGGGGATTTCATCTGTGGTGTTTCTGTTTGTTCTGTAATTGAGACCTAGGGTGTTGTTGGCGTTGGTGCTTCTGTTTGATGTGAATTTGTGCAGAAGAAGAGGCTTATGTTAGGGGGAGGGATTTGGATTTCGGCTGTGGCATTTTTGTTTATTGTTGGTGCTTTTGTTTGTTGTGAATGTCATGTTTCTGTTTCGTGTTTATCTTGATTTTTGTACCTTTATGAAGTAAATTTTTGCTTTTAAAGTATCAAATATATGATTATGACCGTTCCATTACGAACAACATTACTACACAGGGGAATAATTGTCACTCTTTCAGAATACCACTCAAAAGAGCATAAAGACGTACACTGATACAGATTTGGCAGACTCAGTTATTGATAAGAGATCAACTTTGGATATGCACCTACGTGTGGGGAGTCTTGGTTATATGGCGAAATAAGAAACATAATGTGGTTGTAAGGAGTAATGTTGAGGCATGATACAATGTTATGGCTAATAGAGTAGTTGATAAGATATGGTTGAAAAGAATTTTTAAAGTGCTACAAACCCCGATAAACATGTCAATGAGGTTATACTGTGAAAATAAAGCAGCCATAAGCATTGCAAAAATTCCAATGCGGTATAATTGAACAAAGCATGTAGAGATTGACAGGCTTCATAATTTTTAGAATATCTATACTCCAACTCGATGGGGGGTATTAGATTTTTAGGAAGATTTAATTTTTTTTGTATCTTCTATTATTAGCATTTTCTATTTTTAGAATTTAAAATATTAATATGTCATTATTCCTATTTCCTTCTTTTGTAATGGGAAGTTATGGCGGATATTATAGTTTTTCTAATGTGAGAGTATTCTTCCTTCATTTTATCTTGTAATCGTTTTATGTGAAGTTGAAGAGGAATAAAAATTTTTCCACCCCAAAAACATACAAAAATCAAATGTTATAAACATTACAATAAGAAAGATTGGTTTCAGTTCACCTAGGCAACTAGACAACAACCGCAAGCACAATTTTCCCGATCATCATACACAACCAAAGACAATAAAAAAAAGCAAGAGGAGAAAACAGAAGAATGGCACGTTATAATACTAAAAAATGTGGATAAATAAATAAAAAAGAACTGCCTCGTTAACAAGGATAAGACTTCTACTTCGTCATGGATCAAAACTGCTTAAGAAAGAGAAGAAGGAAATAAGAAATAATAAATAAGAACTATCTGCCTTCTCACCTAACTAATTTTAAAATTATGGACCACAACATGGTTAACTAAAGTTTTGAAATAGTAACGATACCAGCAACCAGAAGCCATATTTCCAATTTTAAAACAAAGGGCAGGACGTAGTTATTCAGGTAGGAATGTAACCAAAAGAACAAGTATCCACCAACAGCTACTACATAACATGACAACAAACAATACCTAGAGCACTGATGCATGGAAATGTTCTACTCCAAAATATTATGGAATAGTTACCAGTAAGGCCGATAGGGTAGACTTCCCACAACCACTTGTTCCACACAAAAGAATTGTAACCGATTCCTTTCTTTCTCTAATCCTACAATAAATTAAGAAAAATAAAGAGAGCTTAAAACAGGCGAGCTTAATGTAAGTAAATGCAATTAAATTGTATGGTAATAAGCATGCTCAAAGAAACATAAAAAAAGATTAAACGAAAAGAAGATTAGGATTACATTTAAACTCAGGCTATATTTTATAAATTTCTGCCAAGAATATATGTACAAGAATAGAATGTGTGAAAGAATCCTTCCAGTTATTGCATTGCAATGTTTCCTCTCAAGTTAATAATGATTCATTTTCATAATTTCTAGTTTAGAATCAGCACACATTAAGATAAAAAAGACTTCTATGAAACATATAACGCTAAATGCCCAAAAATATAAGGAAAAACAAGCAGACCTAAACATAACCATTCTGACTATAATAATTAAAAAATAAAAAGCACTCTGAAAACTCTAAAAATCAGTATCCTATGTAATTTAAAAAAAATAATCCATATTTCAACATTAGTTTACATACACGTCAGTGTCAAAATACTCTTCCTATAATAATTTTAGATATAAATAGTGTTTTAAACTGTACCAGATTTCTATCTTTTCCTCAATTTTAATAGCGATGAACCTAACGCCAATCAATATTTAACCCTTTGAATTCCATGGAACTTGTTCAATGTTGTTGTTCCGATGCGCCAAATTCATTCTTGAAGTTAAAAATATATATAACAATAGAAACAATATCAATTTGAATTCCTCAAACACCTTCAAAAGAGATCTCTGACAAAAAGATATTGATATCTTTCACAGAAACCACTTAACAATGCTGCATATTGTGATAAAAAAGTACCGCTAACAAAGAAATTTTTATAGAATTCTTATCACCTAAAAAATCATCCATGTACAGTCCAAACCATAATGCATGCTTTTCAATTAATCGAAACCTTTTTTTTATGGCCTCCAAAACTGTCTCAATTACCAGCCAACAGGTTTTCAAATGCTATCTGGATGAAGTTGAAAGGCTCGTTAAAATAGACAAATTTCGAGAATAGACTACACTCCTACCTTAGTATCACTTCCAAGGATTTGCAACATGAAAACCATGAAAACACCTTCTATGTCCATGCAAATCATGTATCAAACACAAATACACCTCAAAAGAAACCTAACATATGGATAACGAGTTGAAATCATGCTTGATTATTTTCTTAAAAATTAGAGTTGGACATTTCCAAAATGCTAAGTCGAGACAGTTGTCACAAGCTATTACTAGCCAGTAAATATTTTGATTAAGGTTAGACAATCGACAGGTTAAACATTCAAACCTCATACAATCATAAATCTGGCAATGTTGACGGAAACATTGGTGCTAGTGATAATGGTTATCACAATGGAAACTATGATGAGGTCAAATCAAACTAGTCTTACATCAAAATATTCATGTACCCCATGTCTATTTTGAAGAGAGTATATATTTTTTGGATTATTTTATTATTCTAGACCGTACAATGTTAATAATGATAGCATAAAGTCTGACAATTAATGCAAATGTTGGGTGTATTGTTGAAAACTAAGAACACCAGATAAAACTAAATACTTAAATTATATTTAATTCAATATTATTATTTCTTTTGCTGACCTTACAATTTTTTATGAGACCTTAAAATTTTTTATGAGCTAAACATTATGCTATGCTTCATTATGAGAAATTTTAAGAAAATATTGGCTTTTGGTGTTTTTGATGATACATTTTATATTAATAATTACTAAAAAAAACAACAAGTGTAGCATGTGTTGTCTCCTATGTTTTATAGTTATGTTACACCCCTTGTCTAATTATGACATGTTGAGTCTCAAATTATAGTTCTTGCCTCAATTCAGGGAATTTTTCGGCTACAACTCTAATACAAAGCTTCAAAACAGCAACATCATACAATATGTAGAGTTAAGATTAAATTTCTATCAATTATACTTTCTGTATCAGGAAAAATAAAATAAAAAACATTAACCATGAGCCAAAACATATCAAGCCTCCAGTGTTTGGCTCGATTTCCAATTGATGGGAGACCAAAGAAATACTGTCATTCTAAACTCTGATGTATTTCGAAAAGTAACATATTTATTCAGTGGTTAAAAAATAAACATAGACATCAAACAGCATAATGGTAAGCAAGATGAAGAACCAAAATATATCAAGTCATTAAATCAAAAAATTGAAATTCTATGCTAAATTTATCAACTTGGGACAGTAGCACATTATCAAAATAATAAAAGAATTCCATGAATAAAATATTCAATATCTAAAAGGTTATGAAGGAAACTAAAACAACCAATATATTAATTACAGATCATCTTCGTCATCCTAATTATAGCAAGTAGAGAAATACTATTCCTAAATCAGCAATATGCACATGTAACTTCCTAAAAAATAACTAACATGTCAGATTCATAAACAGATTGAATAGGATAACATACAACACATAAAATATGAGCTAAAGTTGGCCAAAAAATCATATGCAATAAGGATAATTATTAAACATAGTGACAAAATTTATCAACAATCAATCATATTTCTAGTATGAAGAATCTCTAGGAAGAGTTAGAAGCACTGGAAACAAAGTTAAAGCTAGATTGAGCTGCAATGAAGTATAAGGCAATTAAATATATATTTTGATAATTACTCTATAATCATTATAAAATTCAAGGAAACATTTAGTTCCACATCATATAATCTAGTACCACTGCACATCAAAATAAAATCAGCACACGAGCAAAAAGTTGAATGCAGCTTGTGTAGTTGAGTATCTTATTCAGAAAACATTGACTGATGAGATATAAGTATATCATATATAACTTGATTCATAAGATTTAACTTGGTAAACAAAATCCTGTGCATTATCAGAAAATAGAAAGGGCAGTCTCCCTCCCACCTGCATGCCAGAAGCAGGTCAACCCTTTGATTGGGACCCACATATTTATAAGAAGATAGGGCGTCACAAACAACGCTTAAGAAGTTCTCTCTTGTAACAATAACAGTTGTCTGTCTTTTATATAGTTCAAACTGTATGGAGCTTCTCTCTATGTTTTCATTTATCATATTCTGGTTCAGTAGTTCATGGTGATTGTCTTTCCCAAATCTCCCTGCTGAAATATCTGAGAATGGCAAATTTGTCCCAGCTTGAGCAAGAGCACCTTTTTTGCATCCATTTCTCATTACATCAAATACCCTTCGACTAATCTGACAAGAATTAACATAATCCTGTTCAGTTCTAAAGCCAAAACAAGAAAATGTAATGCCAAATATAAAAATTTAACAAGGTACCAGAAAACTTAATTAGCATATGTACACTGCCGATGAAGATATTAGAATAAAGTGATCACAAATCATAAACATTAATGAATTGATAAGTTATTCACCCAGCAAAGTTTTATTTTTTGAAACGGTGGTAAGGAAAATGCAACCATGGTAGCCATGTAACACAAGAAGAGTAAACGAGTTATTATTTTAGCCATTCGTAGATTGAAAGTAAAAATTTCTACTGTCAAAACACAGCACCACCATAATTCGCAAACAGAAACAGCCGATTCATAAAACCTAAAAGAAGTGAGACAGAAGTAAACAAGGAAATTACTAATCTCCAAATTCAAATCAGCAGATATAGACATAAAAGCATATTGTCAAGACTCTTGAAAAGGGCAGCCTAAGACAACAGGATCACCAGCAATCAACCATAAACATTCCAAATCAACACCGCCTA